CCACTGCACCCGTCGCTCTCTTTAAGGTTAATCGTCGCGATACACGATGCGATGACGGCCACCGGCCACGGCGAGAATGACCACAGAACATATAAGAGAATGACGCAATCCCCGGTAAATTCTTGTAATTATTATCATGATTGGTCAAAAAGCTTGGATTCCCGAACATTGCCGAAGCCATATTCTTAAGCACAGACTTCGTCAAGACGATCTTAAGCTCAAAACTTGTGTTCTCAAGATTTATCTATGCATGTAAAGCCGTCTTCAGACGGTTTTCGATCTTAAGACCGTCTTGGCCAAGATCATGCTTAAGACAAATCTTGAGCAACGTCTATGAATTCCGCCCTAAAAACCGAGATGGCAAAAGTTTGTTCCTTTGATGACACAAAGGAACTTATTGAATAATGCGGAAATCATGAACTATTGTAGAATACTACTGTGACAGAAATAAAAAAATTTTTAAATTTTTATGTTCTGCGAATAAAGTGCGAAAAAAATTCATAATTTAAAGAATTAGATAAGAATATTTTTAATACATTTTCTAATTACTTGGTCAATAATTAGTTACACTTTAGTTTTACATACTTTGCACGTTTTAGTTACAGTGCTGAAATTAAATACATTTAATTTTACATCGCAAATTAAGTACATTTAAAAAAAAAAAAAAATTATTAAATATTTACATGTAAAAATCTAACATCAAGGTATTTCGCAAACTAAAAATTAAATAATAATATCGCACTATGTATTCCACTTCACAATTTGTAAGTCTGTGGAAACTTTTAATTGTTGGGAGTCTTCAATTTTAAGCTCTCTAATTAGAGCAGATCCAGCATCTGCAATCAATCCATTGATCGACCCAGGTCTTTTTGTTGTTATTTAACACTCTTTTCCTTTTTAAAATAATGCTATCCACTATAGCAGCCGCAAGTTTTTTCGTTTACGCGACATTATGATGTCCCCACTCTCAGAATTTAAAAATTTAAAAATTTAAAAATTTAAAAATTTTTTTATTTCTGTCACAGTAGTTATAAAGTA